ACTTACCATCAAACAAACCATTTTTGCTAAATTGACGCCTCCTTCATCCATCTCTCTTTCATTGGACTCATCTTTTCCATTGACTATATCCATCAATCCCATCAAGATACCATCATGAATCTCGTTGCTAACCAATGCATGACTCTTCTCCGATGGTGTCTCTAGCCAACGCGACGTTATATTCACAATGGCCTGCTGTGCAAGCGAAGCCAAATTGGTGTTTTGATCCAGTAAAAAATCGATTAAAAGCGATGAAAATAGATGCGCTGGCTCTTCTTGGAAAAAGTACATATATTTATCGAATTCGCTCGCCAATGTCTCCCTCACATTCTCATCTGTGTCTTTTCCCAGCGCTAAGATCACGGGTACCACTTGATCTACTGCCTCCTCTCTACTGATCTGATAGAGGGTGGCTGCAATTTCCCTGGTTACCTCCAATCTATAGCGGACCTTTAAAATCGAGTATCACGCTAATTTTTAATTTTTTTTTGTAACAAACCTTTCTGATGGTGTGGGGCTGGAGGAGAGCTTGATCAGTCTCTCCAGGGGAGATAGGTTTTCCATCATATCGTCTTGCTCTTGATCTTGTATTGATTCTATTTTTTTTTAAAAAAAAAAACAAAAAAAAAGAAAAAGAGAAAAAGGTGAGGAAATAGAGATAAAAAAAAAGTGAATCCATTGAACCTCTTTTCTTTTTTTTTTTTTTTTCTTGTATAACATTTATAAATTTCCCTTGGCTTATTATATCTACCTTCGGTTAATATCATTTGTAATAGTGAGGTTGTGTCCGCATCGTCATAAGGAGGTGGTTGTTCTTCCGTAATGACGGTATTTTCTCGCATCTCTTTAACATCTTGTTCGACACCGAGATCTATCAAAATAAAATTATGTAGTTTTTTTTTGTTTTTTTGTTTTTTACATATTTTATATTTTATATTTAATATTATCGTTATTAATAATAAGAAGAATACATTTTTTTTTTAAAATAAAAAAAAAAGATATTCAGGAACAAAATAAAAAAAAAGTGTTGTATTATGTTATTTACCCGTCATTGTTATCTTTTTATTATTATAGGTTTAATAAAATGGTTTCTTTAGTAAAGGGTTGGTTAAAGAAAAGAGAAAGAGAGAGAGAAAAAGGGAAAAAAGAAAAAAATAAGTTGGGGTTTATGATTGTTCACATGGTTTGATGTGATTGAGCACAATGAGCGCGCATTTTGAAAATACGATGCTTTGTTTTACCAAAAGATTACTAAGAGCACTTTTTAAGAACTTTAAAGAGTTTTACTGTAAAGAATTCAGAGACTTGGGTAGTTTGCTCTTTTATGTAATGGGTTAGTGAATTTTAGCAGAGGTGTTTTTTCTTTTATGAATAAAGAAAAAAAAAAGGGGGGTATCTACGCATGAACCAAACTTGTTTTCTTTTTCTCGAAGACCAGAAACTCACTCGTTCTTTTCTCGCTAGAATTTCTAGTTCCGTTCGATATCCGTATATAGATAAAGTATATTTTTATTTTGGTTAAGCTACATATATCGACATTTTAAGGTAAATATACGAGAAAATTTTTTCAACTTAAACTTTTACAGGGAAAAAAAGCATCTTATGAGCTTTACCTTTGGGGCACGTTTATTCGGCCCCCCCGAATATTTCACTTCCCCTAGAAAAAAAAAAAAAAGTAATGAGAGAAAAGAAAGAACGGTCAATAATACAAAACGAATTTCTGGCGTTTCCAACGGGAAGGACGATGAGCACAACGAAGAGCGTCTACGCAAAGAAGACAACGATCGTTCAGACCATTCATTGGACCGCAGAAAGATAAAGAAAAATAAAACTGTGGAAAAAAGTAAAAAAATTTTTTTTTTTCGGAACAAGAGACGGGCAGTCCGAGAACGGAGACCATTGTTCGAACATTCATAAACAATAAATGGGACCTAGAAAATAAGTAAATGAGTATGAAATAATCTGACGGTTGGAACAATTCGTTCGAATACAGAGGAGAGGAAGGGCATACTACAAGAAGCCATTCTCTTTTTATTTATTTATTTATATCCTTTAAATTAACTTTACCTTATAATTGCCCTATACACCCACCTAATAAAATCCAGCAGCATGATACCGATGACTACCACCGTTCAAGTCGGCACCATTCGGAGTACAGTTGTAACCATGATAACCAGTGCAACTAGTGCCTTTCTGGTGGAATTGACGGCGATAATGGTTCTGGAACCGATGACTTCCATTGCGGGTTAAGTACCTAATGTTGGTTTAACTATTCCGAGGACTTCTCTTCCGGGCACCATAGTGGTAGAGGTGACGGGTGCAGCTTATACTCTGAAGGTTGGCAGTGATACGGGTGCAACTAACAGGACCAGTGCGACTAATGTAGTTCTTGTACTAATGACCACGACGAGTCCATTGTATCGTAGTTGCAAGAGTTCTCAATTTTTTTTCATATAATTTATATTTCACAAATATCTACCTACCACGGTAATAACATCAGAGACGATGACTACCAGTTTACGGGGTCTGGGCACTCGTGAACAACAACCGAGCGGTTCAACCACAGGTTTTGAACCAACAGAAATAGTTGTTCCAACTAGTTCAACTGCTAGGTCTCTACGAACTTGAACAGCTTTACCTTTACGCACTAGAGAACCGGCTTATGCCAAAGCTGCCACTCCCATGGGGGTAACAGTTCCCAAGGCGAGAACGACGGGAACTTCCGGCACTGGGACTCTAACCACTTTTCGGGTAAGTGCTTAATTACCGGCGACAACTACGGGTATAAGGATGGGGACAGTCTCTGAACCTATTCGGGAAGGAGTACGGATAACTTCTACAGAAGAGATAGAGACCAGCACCATGACAGCGATGACCAGCACAACTTGCACCACAGCAATGGTTCCCATCGCTTCAACTTTAGCAGCCATACCCAGGGTGGTAGTTCTGATGGAACTGACCATAACTTTACAAGGCATTCCTTAACCTAGCACCACTCCGACCACTATTATACCCACGGAACAACGCACCATAGTTCGCACTTGTCTAGGCAGCACCAGTTCAGTACACACGGGGACCATGACATTTCAGGGTGTTCTTCAAGTACAGGGTTTAGATATAGAACTGGTTCCTTCTTCCACCAGCAGTGTGAGGGAAACAGTTGTTGATGGCAGGGGTCTACAAACAAGCATGTTGGCTACAGTGACAGTCAAACTGTGTGGGACTTCCATGACTTCTAGGGCTTCTATTCGAGTAGTACGGACCACTGTTACAACTCTACGTTACACTCGAACAAGTGCTGCAACGGGAACTCCTTCCAGTCGCAAAGTGGTAGGCACTTCCACCATTCTGACAACCATGACCACAACAATGGTTCTAACAGCTCATTTACGAACGGTTAAAGTTTTTCACGCGGAAATATAATACATATAATTTTTCTAAAAAAAATAATTGATTTTTTGTTTTTCTTTGTATGTGTGTAAATCTTATTTTAGCTATTTATTTATTTTTGATAATAATTATGCTCGAAAAAAAAAATACCAACCACACCAACACGAATATAAGCATTTCTTCCCCTGAACAGTTATATTAAAAAAAACGTGCGGTTTATATTTGAAATAAGCCTAATACGTTTTTTTTTTTTG